TATCCTTTAAAGTCGAAAGAAGCTGCGCCGGTGGCTGAAAAACTTCTCCAACAGTTTTATAGCTTTGGACCACCGAGAATTTTACAGTCAGACAATGGTAAAGAATTTGTTGCTAAAGTGATAAAAGATTCAACTCTGTTACCAACAATAACGTTCATCCAAGCATGTAAGGAATACGTTGGTACAAGTCTGATTGTTGCAGAAGCATGTCTTTGTAATGGCAAATGTGCTACTAAATCTTGTCCATGTCGATCAAAAAATGTCAAATGCGGAACAAAATGTCATCCCAAGAAGAAAGCTTGTTCAAATGTTTAAATATTTTTTTCTTTTATTTCGTTATAAATGCATTTACTATTATGCGTCTAGTCAGAAGAGAAATTTTATTTATTCCTGCAGGAATAATTCAAATATGTGAAAGAACTTGTTTGCTAGGAATATTTTAAATATTCCTATAGGGATAAATCAATTTTAATTTGAACTAGTTCATATTAAAATTTTCCTAGGAATATTTTAAATTCTCCTACATTTCATTTATTCCTGCGACATATATTTATACTTTACTACATTATCTAATTCAGTCTTTAAACTGGAGTAGCCGATCTGTATGTATTAAACAGCGACAATATGGCCTACATAGCTATTGTATTGTTCTTGCTTTTAGATACTCGGAAAAGACTTCAGAATAACGAAAATATATGGCCGGTCAGAAACTTTTAGACCGGTTACAGGACCGGTCGGATTGACGGACGATTTAGCGGTGAAAAAAGTTTTCTTCAAAGGAAACAAGGTTCCTGCTTGGAAAAATCCTGTATGGGAAATTACTGCTAGAATTAGCTACCTGTCGGAAAAGTTCATTTTTTGGAGAAAGAAGGATAGCTAGATGAAAAATGACGTTAGATTTAAAAAGCTAATGCAATAAGCTATTTAGGAAACAAAAAACATTTGAGAAAACAAAACAATATTTTAATGTGCAACAAGAAGAACGTATACAAAAATTTGAAAATACGTATCGATCAGAAAATGCTTTGCAATGGTACAGAAGAGAAAATTTCTTTTGTGATGTAGTTAATAAAGAATTATATACACAAATACTGATACATTATTTTCATTAAGATTTTTCATCTGAAAATCAGCTGAAAGCTGAATAGGATACAGTCGAACATGACTTCGATCGAATTTTATATCATGGTCAAACTATATCTAGCAAAGAACTGAACTTGAAAGAAAATATTGGCGACGCAATATCTATCAACAGTTTCCTTTCGACCACGTTCGATTTAGATATAGCTAGAGGTTTTGCTATGAAATTTTTGCCGAAAGTGGAGATCCGGTCGGAACTCATATCATGTTTCATATTACAAGAGATAAAAATCTTACCAATGTTAAACCGTTTGCTGCTATGTCGAAGGTAAGTGAATATTCGGCAGACAATGAAGTTCTTTTTATGGTCGGATGGATATAATTCAATGGATTTTGAAAGAAAAGTTTACAGATTTTTCCGAGGTGCGCTGACCGTTTTTGACAAGAGGCCCCAGGTGTTTTCCAACATTTCCCCAAAAGGTCGACGACGGTTCATGGTAGTACTCTGGGTCTACTTCACGAAACCGTAGAGAGCCCTTCAAACGGACCATCTTCGGCTGCAAAAACCACTTTGCAGTTTCACCGAACCGAGGCAGAAAAGACTACACCAATTGCAAGGTGTCTGTCTCGTAACATCTAGAACTGCGTTAGATGTTTTCAGTAGTGAGGAGGATGAGGGACAGCAAGATAATTTGCCAAAAAAAGTTAGATCCGTCGAAGTTCTGCGACCTCGACCGAGTCGTTATGTTACGTGGGGTTTTGATAACGAAATGGACACGCAAAACGAAGATGCGACCTCGCCAGCACCATCCGTAGCTCAAGATTCAGCAACTGGCATCCCGTTGAGAACCACAAGGCAAACAACAGCTGCTGCAACAAATTATCCTGGCACCACTACACGTAACGGTCAGATGTTTGTGGAGGAGGAAGATGAAACAGACGAAGAGGATGAACGTGCAGTTCAACGAGCCAATGAAATTATGAAAACAAGAAGGAAACTGTTAAGTGAACCACCAAAGAGTAAAAGTAAAAACATTTAAAGAAATAACATGTAAATAAGAAAGAAAGATACATTTTTGTAAACTTTTTAAACATTTTTCACTATGTGCGCTTTTCTACTGCTTCTTTTGTATTTATGAAAACGACTGTTCTCGTTTCACTGTCCTAACCTATTTCCGAAATACGACAATGATAGAGAAAATGAAACAAACAATAAGAAGAGAGATAGTATGGTACGGCTACTGCATGTACATGGCAACAAACAATTTTTCTGCCAACAGATTTTTCTGTATTAGTCTTTGATATAATTAACACATGATCATTAGCATAGCCTGCCCACGAAGCATTCAGACTGAAGAATACTCTCACCGCTGATATCAATATAGCGTACGTTATCGCAGTACGGAAGGATTGTATTTTTCTCAGAGAATGAAAGACGAATCTTAGCAGAAACGCTTACTCAGCTCACAATAGTTCTTTACGTCCACTGCAGACGTAAAACTCTATTCGATTTTCAAGAACAGCTTATCGTACAGAAGCGTCGTAATCACCAGCAGGCATAAAAGATCAGTACGCGATCAATAACACACGTTTATAGTGATAAACAGAGAAATAACTGCAGTTATTTACTAACATGGGCACCAAATTCACAAAAACCCCGCGCATATGCAGCTGATTTAATAAAATTGACTGATGCACAACTGAGACGAAAGCCATTATTTAGTCCATTTTTTAAGAAGAGCAGAAACCGCTGTTCATTGATTCATGTGCACTGTAGAGAGCTGGAACTACGATAATCGTATTCAGCAATCAATTCTGCATCAAACGAAGTGTAATAAGTGATAAATTTGACTTAAAATAAGTTTTTACTGCAGCTGAATCTAGAAAAACCTTGGATAAATCGAGTTTCCAGTCATGTCTGTTGATCTTGAAGCCTTGTAACTTAGATATTCGAAAGTAGCACTGAATTGTGCGTCGGATGAAGTATAAGAAAGCCTATTTTGAATAAAAAAGTATTTTGAAAGAATTAGTGCAGGATTTTGAAAGAAAATTTTTCAGGTTTTTCCGAGGTGCGCCGACCGTTTTTGACAAGAGGCCCCAGGTGTTTTCCAACATTTCCCCAAAAGGTCGACGACGGTTCATGGTAGTACTCTGGGTGTACTTCACGGAACCGTAGAGAGCCCTTCAAACGGACCATCTTCGGATGTAAAAACCACTTTGCAAAACGGCAGATAACGTTTTGTCTATGTCTAAAGAATGAACTATTTCTGGAGACGCTTAACTCAAACAAGTTCAGATTTTTATCATAGATAGTACTCATAGCAAGACGGCTCTGGTAAAAATTTAAGCTCATTAGCATTTGATTTGATGGCATTATAGCGTAAGCAAAATTTTCGACTGAAAAATCGCTTTTTTTCCGTATTTTACTACTTTCTTTGCAAGCGCTCTAGCGTCGAGGGAAAGCATTTTGGGAAAAAATGTCAAGAGACAATGTTCAGGACACAATTCTCTATCTGCTCTGATAGTTTGAGAAAAATCTGTGACAGGTCGTTGAGCGACTTAGTTCGTCCCTATCATGCATTGCCTCCTATAGATCTTGAATGTGGATCCATCGGATTATTCGATGTTTGTTCCCTACGAAGCTCTGTTTTCATTGATCCGGAATGAAGACTGAGAACTTTATAGAAAAATATCTTAGTTGGTTAAGTTTTGATAACAGTGGAATATCTGAGTAACAAAGCAAAATTTTTGAGAAAAGCGAGGCATACTTTTAAAGCTGGAACCTAAGTTCTGCAAGTTTTCTGTATTTCGTGAATATCTCGCTCAGCTTTGACCGCGAAGAGATCAGGTTAAAGTTAAAACATACCCCGTTGAATTCTTTACAAGGCCTATATCAAACGTTTTTCTGTACAAAGGGGAGCAGAAATATGAAAACAAGAATACTCAACACGTTTAAAAGGACAAACTTTCCAAGTCACTTTTAAAATAATGTTTAGAATCTTTTTTAGAATTTCGAAAGGCTTCCAGGAGCTACGAAATCGCAGATTGAAACAGCTAATTTCTCAAAAGCTGAAAAAGAAGATTATTGGTGTACCTCGCAAGGATGAGCATGAAAATTTTCGAATTAAGATCGGTCGATAGAGGTTTTCAAGGGCTACAAAATGCCTATAGTATTTTATTTTTCTCGTCACGATAGCCAACAAAAAAATCTGAAAAACAATTTTTTAGCTTGGAAAGTTTGTCCTTTTAAACGTGTTGAGTATTCCTGTTTTCATATTTCTGTTCCCCTTTGTACAAATGTTTGATATAGGCCTTGTAGAGAATTCAACGGGGTATCTTTTAACTCTAACCTGATATCTCCACGTTCAAAGCTGAGCGAGATATTCACGAAATACAAAAACTTGCAGAACTTCCCATGTGATAAAAATCGCGTAAAAATCGGCGACTTTTACGCGACTTGGTGTTCGATTGTTGCGATGTTATGTCGCAATTAGTCGCCGACTTTTTAGCGACGTTTTACTTTTAGTCGCGACTTATCAGTGTTTTATGGGGACTAATCAGCGATTTTTTTCCACGATTGTCGATCTCTTAGTACCGACAATCGGTACTCGGTTCAAGCCTCCCTTTTTCCATTGTTTATTTTTGCATAGTGTATTTGTATTTATTGTTGTATTTATTTTTTCAATAATTTTCAAGTTAGTTAAGAAAACA